CATCTCCATACAGCCTATATTATATGCTTCTCAGATGACATTTATGTGGCTATGAGTTTCACTACCTTAGATGCTAGGATGCTTGAAGCTAATTTTTCCCCAGCTTTATTGAGGTATAATTAAAAATTAAACTAAATTTTTAATGGCCTGTGACATTTTGTCATTTCATGGAGTTGCCTTTCTGTTTAAAGTCTTATATGTATCACCTCGAGTCTTTTAGGAAATAAGTGATGTAGATTTTATGTTGAAATAAGTTATTACCTGTCAGTGATTTTAAAAGTTTGTTGACTTTCTACATCCCTAAGTGGAATTAACTTGCAAGTTCCTTAGCACACTAAGTTCATATATAAAATTCAATCAAGATCATATCTAGACTTTCATATTTCAAAATACTCAAATTTTTGGTAGAGAAACTGCCAAGTTATCCTATATTTTTCCATTGTGATTTTACTTTCCTTCTTGAAAAGATGAATACAGTTGATGAAACTTAAAAAAATATAGCACATGTTGAGTAGTTTTCTGCCCTAAGTATTAAAATTCTATGTTTTTTAATGCAGATGTGGAATTAGAAGAAGCTATTAGAAGAAGTCTTGAGGAAATGTAATTAAAGATATTACCACACAACATCAAGTGGCCTTGAAGAGACTCAGATAATGAATTCTTGAGTTTGTTTTCTAAAGGAGACCAGAAATCCACTATTACAAATGTATTTGAAAACATGGTTTTGCTTTCATATGTTCAAAATTTGATCTTTGTTTTGTATTTTTGTGTTAATGTGCAAACATGTACAGAAGGAATAGAATACATGTTCATGCAAATATAAATCATGTATTCTAATATAGGTATAACAGTTTCCCAGTTAACTTTGAATTTATATATTTAGATTTAAAGGATTTAAAAAAAAAAAAAAAAAAAAGGAAAGCTCTTAATAGTTGTTTCCCAAATAGCATTAGTTCTTTAATTTTATTTGTACTGTACAAATGATTCTAGTTTATTTTTTTAGGAGTGAAAATGAATATAAAAAAGGTGACATAGGTCAAGTTTTCCATAAATTCTACTTCTCATGTGGCACTATTATATATTACCTTTGAGATCTTTGTTTATGTTTATTAGAAGAGGGTAATGGAAACTGATCATGGAAACACTTAAAATTTTATCAGCAGTGTTCTTTGTGGGTGCCATGCAGATGTGAATTATTGCTTTAATTAGAGCAGCACATTGCTAAAATAAAAAATACACCTTAATTTTTAAGAAATAATTTAAATGAAACAATTTCCATTCCTTTTACCTGCTTAGACTTTTATGTGACTTGTATGATCTCCTGTTTAAAGGGAATGGTGTCAAAATATTTGCATAAAATTATTTTTCATAATACTAGTCCTTTTTTATATATTTGTGTAAACATAATATCTTCAAGAAATAATGTTGAAAGCCTACTCAGGAATAATCTTCCTTAACTCTTTAAAATTTTTATTTCATATAGAATGTCTTCAGTTTAGTTATTCACTGAATTGTCAGTTTCCTTCATTTGGTATTACATATTTAATTCTTAAATATTGAGGCCCCATTGTGAGTAATACAAAATACGACATAAGTAGAAGACTAAGAAGGGCTTGTCATATGATCTTTGTGTATATGCTTCATGTTATTTGACCAGAAATGTCTTATCTCTAAAAATTTTTAGTAGTAATTATTTACCAAACTTAAAAACATTTCCATAAATATAAAGCTTTCCTTTATATTTAAGACAAAATATAAAGGCTAGAATTTTGTTCCTTCTCTGTAACACTAAATATTTTAGTGTGAAAGTGAATTTTTTTATTACTATAGTCTTTTCAATCTACAAGTTGTGTTTTTAATTTCTTGATATGTCACTTCTGTTCCTCCCTGCTTGCATTTTTTTAAAAGTAGACATTGTGGCTTGAGAATTTATCAATCATCTTTCCAAAATGACCACATTTTGCTTTTAGTTTGTATGGTTAAGTGGTCAAGCAAGGCTCTAGGAGATAGTCACTGAGCTGGACCTTAAACACATCTGCGGGAGCTCACAAAATAGTGAGGAGCAAAAGAGGCATTCCAGAAAGATGAGTGGTTAAGCAGATGTGGGGGCAGGGCAAGAGGAGACAGCTCCTTGTTGCCAGAGATTCTACACAAAGGTGTCATGGACACTGATGCTCTATTAAGAAGCTTTTGTGGTGTGTGTGGTAGAGAATAAGGCTTTTGATATAACAGGAAAGGGATATTTCATCATGACTCTTAAGAAAAGGTAACTGGGTTGTTTAATGTTTTAATTGATAATTGTCACTGATTGTATTTCTACCTGTTAAATAATTAAAAATCATCTTAAAATTCATACTTTGGCTTTAATTTAGACAAAAGGAGATGTAATCGCTGTGTAACATTAGAGAAAGTTATATGGATTATCATCAAAAGTAAATGTTTCTAACATTGACAAAGATGCTTATCTTTTCATTACATCATTCACTCATTAATTCATTCAGTCACAAAATATTTATTGAGTACCAACCATGTGCCAGCAACTATTCTAAGCACTTGGAATATACCAGTAAGCAAAACAAAGCCCTTTACCCCTCTGTGGAGCACACATTGGTGGAGAGAAGGAGATTGTACAATGTTAGTAAGCAAGCAAATAAAACTGCATATCTGATGGTGATACATGTAACGAAGGAAAATGAAGGGAAGGGAATAAATAGTGCAGGGACAGGGAGTTGCAGGGAGGCTTGCTATTTTTAATAGGGTGGTCAGAAAAGATCTCACTGATAGGTAAACTTGAGCAAAAACCTGAAGAAGGTGAGGGAATGAGGATGAAAATATATATAGGGAAGAGAGTTCCAGGTGGAGGAGGGGAAGGTCCAGACAGGAGCTTAGTATATTCAAGGAAAAGCAGGAAGACTAGTATCACTGAGAGGATGAGCTAAGAGAGTAATAGGAAATGAACTTGAGGTTTTTCTAATGACCTTGGCTTTTACTCCGAGGTAAGGAGCGATTGAAGGTTTCTGAGAATAAATGGTATGATCTGCCTAATTTAGGATTGCTGTAGTTGCTGCACTGAGATAACATGTACATGAGAGGCAAGAGTAGAAGCACGGAGACCAGAGAGGAAGGTATTGTAGTACTTCAGATACTAACTTACCAGGTAGCATGAACCGGAATGGTGGCGGTAGAATTGGGAAGAATCTGGATATATTCTGAAGGTAAAATTAATGGGATTTACTAATGAGGTGGATCTAGGATATGAGAGAAAAAGAGTTCAGGATGATTCTAAAGTCACTTGATAGACTTTCAAACCACTCACAAAATGTGTTTTGTTTTCGTTTGTGTCATGATAAAGTATTTTTAATAAGGTCAAATAATCCCCTACCCCAAGAGTTAATTAGGATTTAGAATGAGTTCAGAGGGAATTGGGATCCAGCCTTAAGGGCTTCAACTCTGTTCAAGTATTTAAACGACTTTGATCTCTGATTAAAGGTGCTGGTTCAGCTTTAGACTATTATTATCTATCATTTTCTGTGCCGTGTACATTAACATCCTTGCAGTGAGAGGCATAGAGCTATCAGGAGAGGGGACCAAAACCTAACTTTTTAAGTAGACTAATCTTTGTATCCTCAGCTCTATTCCATCTTTTACCGACAGCTGGTGCCTGACCTAGAGGCCTACTGCATCTTTTTGTTAACATTAAAAGTTGGCCTGGCGCGGTGGCTCAAGCCTGTAATCCCAGCACTTTGGGAGGCCGAGACGGGTGGATCACGAGGTCAGGAGATCGAGACCATCCTGGCTAACACGGTGAAACCCCGTCTCTACTAAAAAATACAAAAAACTACCCGGGCGTGGTGGCGGGTGCCTGTAGTCCCAGCTACTTGTGAGGCTGAGGCAGGAGAATGGCGTGAACCCGGGAGGCGGAGCTTGCAGTGAGCTGAGATCCGGCCACTGCACTCCAGCCTGGGCCACAGAGCGAGACTCGGTCTCAAAAAAAAAAAAAAAAAAAAAAAAATTAAAAGTTGAGGACTTCTTAATGCCAATTATTTCACTCAGAATATTTATTTATTTATTTAGACAAGGTATCGTTCTGTTGCCCAGGCTGGAGTGCAGTGGCGAGATCTCGGCTCACTCAACAGGAATAATTTTAATAGCAAAAATTAAAAACTCCTTCATTAAGCCGGGCGTGGTGGTTCACACCTGTAATCCTTAGAATGATAAAAATGAAGTAAATTCACTTTGTTTCCTACATCTACCTAGATAGGGAAAGATGGAGTAGCTTTTTCTTTTTTACTTAATAGCTTCAGCGTTGTCCGGGCATTCGTTACTCTCATCTTAGTATAAAGTGGTAACAGGAAGGTCAGGTGAGTGTGGGCTGCCTAGGAGCTGCACTTAACTGCCTTCTGTTTCACAAAAGGACCTTTTCTCCCTATATCACAGGACCCTTAATGTCGTTGTTCTTGCTTTGAATTATGGGTGCTGGAAGAAACTAAACGAAGCCATCACTGAGCAATACACCCACAACCCATCGACCGATAGGAACCTTCGTGTGGGGGAAGTTGGTTACTTTTAGGCTGCACGAAGAGGCGGGGCCACGCGGGGCGGAGCTGGGGGTGGTCTGTGGGTCCGGGCGGGCTTCGGGTAGTTCCTGGGTCCGAGGAGCAGACGATCCGCTGGCCACATTAGGCGCTCAGTCTCTGCGTCTGCCCCTCCCCGTGCCTCAGAGACTTGCGCTCCCCAGGCCCGAGCCCCTATCGGCCCATCCTCGAGCCCCTGTGGCCCGCGAACCTCTTAATTCCAGCCGCTGCAGCCCCCTCCCAGGCCCGGCGTCCCCGAGCCCCGCGGGCGCCGCGCCTGCCCTTCTTTGGCCACGCGGCAGCCGCGGTGTCGGCGAGTCCTCCCGGGTTGCCCCCGCGGGCGTCAGAAGGAGGGCGGGCGCCCGCGTGGTGACGGCGACGCCTGCAGCCCGAGGAGCGCTCCACTCGCCGCCGCCGGAGGGGCCGGTGACCTCTCGGCTGCCCCGCGTCGGAGGCTTAGATGGCTCAGGCGAAGATCAACGCTAAAGCCAACGAGGGGCGCTTCTGCCGCTCCTCCTCCATGGCCGACCGCTCCAGCCGCCTGCTGGAGAGCCTGGACCAGCTGGAGCTCAGGTGAGCCGCGGGCGGGCGGGCGGTCTCGGGCGTTCTGCTCGCCGCGCGGGCGGTTAGCGGACGGAGGCCGCGTGTGGCGGGCCGGGCCCTGGGGCACAGTGAGGCTGCGGCAACAGAAGTTGCTTGTTGAGATTTGTTGTGGATGGACGTGGTGTAGTTTTGTTTATTTCTTGGATTTTCTCCCCTTGTCCAAGAGAAAACGCATTGTAAGCTAAACCTGTGAGGGCGTGATGGTGGCCACACTTTGATTAACTTACCTAGGTGTTGGGGAGCAGGGAAAAGAGGAGATAAAAGTTAAGAGGTGAGATTCCATGCGATTAACGACTGTGGCAGCGTGGGTCTGCAGAGCTTCTAGAACCTTCTGTGTGGCCCCAAATGTTTTTAACTTACTCTTCTCCCGTCATACATTTTTAAGGGAGGCAGCAGTTTACAGTGGCCCTCCACGTGAAGTTAAGTTTCCTTGCTTCAGAACACTAAAAGAGCAAAAATGAATAAAACAAAACCAACCCAGCAATCCATTGAGACCAAAGATTAGAGAGGAGTGAGGGGTAGGCAGTAAGTTACCGGGTGCTTCGTGCAGTAAAGACGTTGCGGCTTCTCTTTATCCCCTGACCTGGCGGACGGGATTCCGCGGTTCCGTTTGTCTCTCAGTATTTATTGGGCACCTCCCTACATAGAAGACGAAGTGTTAGTCACTGGCCTGAAAGTATGAAAAGATAGTTTTCCCTTTTTCTTGCTTAAGATTTTATTAGGTAATATAGTAGTAGACTTGTACAGAATTTCTAAACAATATAATGTTAATAGATTTTTGGAAAGACTTTAACGGTATATTGAAAAGTTTTATCTACTTCCTGTGAACGTTTGTCTCAAGTTACTGTGTAAATTTTGTGAGCAACTGTAGTTAAAAGAAAACCTTGTTAGGCACCTGGAATTCCCTGAAACTGTACACAGGAGTTGGTTCCATAGTTTTCTCTAGGTTGTGCATGAGCAAAGAAGCATGTGAGCCAAAAAGTTCAGGAAACACTGCATGTGTGTTTTATCTCCCTCCATTAATACACCCAAATATGAAGTGTCCGTTTGCCGAGAAAATACTTCAAAACCACGGCATCTCTTTTAACAAGTAAGGCATTATTATTGTTACTATTGGGAGAAAAGAGCCAGAGAGTGAGAGATTCTCCGCTCAAAATAATTTCTTGGATGGCAGCAGAGAAACCTAAGCCCTACACGAGGTTCTGGGGTTCCACTCAGAATGAGGCAAGTGGAAGAGAGAAATAATGCTTCCTCATGGATTTTCACAATACTAGCAAACCTGACCCGTTCCACTCCCAGAAAAAGTAAAGCGCAAGTAGAAATTGGTGGCCTCAGTTACTGGAAGGCCCTCTAACTGATGTTTCTTTTTAGGGAGCCGCATAACAAGTAACACACCTCTCTCCATGTCTTCAGAACGTTGAGGGCATGTTCTCAACCACTTCACTCGCTCTCCCCTAGTTAGAAAGAAAAGATTTTTTCCTAAAGGAATGGGTAGGATGTTACTCCACCCCGCCTTCCTTCAAGCTGAGTCATTGTCCTCAAACTTGAATTAATGCCTCACATGTGGTAGGTACAAAAGCCCTCTGAAGTGCTCCTCTTAAAAAGAAAGCCTCAGGTTTTGAATATTATTATATTCTAATGTTTGATTAATGTAAAATGAATTCTGATTACTGCACATCAGTGATTAAATTACAACTTGCTTAATTAACATTTGAGCTGAGGAGAAAAGTGATTAATATGTGGCTGTTCATTTCAAGGACTTTTTTTAGTAATTCTAGACTTTTGTAGGCCTTTTTTTTCTTTTTAAAAAAGTAATACTAGCTGAAAAGGAAGGATTTCCTAAGGTAAGCAAAAATAGAGAAAAATGCTAACATTGATCCTATTAAAGTGTTTTTTTGAAACCACATGGGCAATGGCATAGAACACTACACTATTAAAAACTAGAATCATGCGTACAAGATCGATTTTTAAATGAAAACATGAAACTCATATGTAATTTTGCTCTAATAGTTTGATTTTATGTTAACTAATAAAGTAGTGTAACTGGGTAGAATAAAACCTTACCGTTTGTACTTAGAAGTGTGCACGTAATGTTCCCTAACCACATCATCCTGTCAATTGTGGAAGAAATTTCATACTTCATGACCTGGAGTATGAACTGATCTACATGATTAAAATGTTTGGCAGCAGTTCTACAAACTGTTAAAGGATTTCCATTTATCTCTAATGGAATTTATCAGTACACTAGCCCTTTTTTTAGACTGCATTTTGTCTTCTGTATTTCTTCCTTCTACAGAGGTGATTCCCTTTTCTCCCTGTTTTTATGATCAATTCTAAATGGAGTCTGAGTTTTGCATTCCTCAGTGGCTCAAACCATCTTGCTTATTGTTACTTTTTAACAATTATTGTAATTTATAAAAAATACTATATTACAATTTTATATATATATATATATATATATATAATGTTTTCATCCACAGTTCCTGGCTCATAACTCCCATAACCCTTGTGACAGTCTTACGTTATAATGTTGGGGTGCTTTAGGCCTCAGGAAAAAGAATCTCTGTCTGACCTTCTTTCGCCTGCCTTGTTTCTAGTCTGATTGTGGGTCAAAAGACCCTCATTCCAGAGAGGGTCCTGTCCCATGCCCTGGAGGAAGGAATTCAACACCCAGAGGCCAAGAAGAATCTGAATAGACTGGTCTTGTGTTAGAGTGAGAGCATACCCATTTTGTCCAGTCACATTTCTACATGGTTATCATTCATGCTTATATAATGAAGCAAGCCTCCCTAAGAACCCGAAAGGACAGGGTTTGGAGAGCTTCCAGATAGTTGGACATGTGGAGGCTCCTGGAAGGTGATGTGCCCAGGGACGGCATGGAAGCTTTGTGCCCCTTACTCCTTGTACCTCACGCTACACATCTCTTCATCCATGTCCTTTGTAATACCCTTTATAATAAACTGGTACATATAAGTAAGTGTTTCCCTGAATTTTGTGAGCTGCTCCAGCAAGTTAAACCCAAAGAGGGGGACATGGGAACCCCAATTTGAAGCCAGTTGGTCGGAAGTTCTGGAGGCCTAGACTTGCAGCGGTGGGGAGTGGGGTCTTGGGGACTGAGCCTTCAACTTGTGGAATCTGACACTGTCCAGGTGTAGATAGTACTGGAACTGAGTTGGAGGATACTTAGCTGCTGTCCACTGCTTGTTGGTGGGGAAAATCCCCCACATATTTGGTCACAGTAGTCTTCTGTGTTGTTACAGTGTGAGAGCAGAGGAAAAACACAGTGTGAAAGTCTTTTCTAAAACACATGCTATTGTTTATTCATTTAATGTACATGGACTATATGCCAGGCCCCATGTCTTTGTGGAAGTTACTATTATCACCATTCTACAGATAGGGAAACTGACGCTTAGAAGCTTAAATGACTTGTCCAAAGTCACACAACTAGAAAGCAGTAAACTCCACATTTGAACCCAGGAAGCCTGGCTCTCCAGGCTCTAATACTTTATGCCTGAATTTTCTTAAATATGTCACATTTCAAAATGTAGGAATGATATATGGATGAATAGATGAGTTTCCTCAAAGAGATAAAAATTCAATCTAAATTGGCCTTAAATTCAGGGGCTACTGAACACCCACTATGTGCTAGGTATTGGGTAGCTCATAGAAAGCTCAAGATGGTAATGAAGATGTTTGGGAGATGGGTTTTGGAGACTGGCAGGGGGGAAAATCATAGGACTGGGAGATTGGGTTGTTACGTGTTTCCCAAAACTTATGACATAGTGGCTCCTTCTGCCTTCCTGTCATTCTTTCGTTGTGGCTTAACCTGCACCCAGGTAGTGAAGGGCTGGGGTCGGGGGTGATAGGGATCATTCGTCTGGCTTAAAGTTTCATGTTAGGGTGTGCCTGTGTTCCAGGAGTCACAAAACAAGATGGCATCATAGTTAATATCGTATAACAGCCTGTAATTTAAAAGAACGCTTAATATACGTTGTTATTTGAAACTTTAAAAACTCTTTGAGTTAGGTGGAGGGCACATGCTCTCTCTCCTAGAAAGGAGGGAAGTGGGGTCCATAAGGATGAAGTGGCTTGCCTAAGGACATGCCACTGAAGAGTGGCTCTTCACACTAAAAACACTAGTCCCTTCTTTTACACCAAAATGTCTTGACAGTAAATGTAATTTAATATTTTGGCAATTAGGGAAACCCTTCAGAATTTTACATTGCCTAAAAGTGATCATTATAGCATTCTTTTGATATAGGAGTACGGAATAAGAGACAGAACTATGAGTTTAAGAACCTGTTTTAGGCCGGGCGTGGTGGTTCACTCCTGTAATCCTAGCACTTTGAGAGGCCGAGGTGGGCAGATCACCTGGGGAGGTCAGGAGTTTGAGACCAGCCTGGCCAACATGGTAAAAACCATCTCTAATAAAAAATTCAAAAATTAGCCAGACATGGTAGTGCATGCCTGTAGTCCCAGCTACTTGGGAGGCTGAGGCAGGAGAATCACTTGAACCCTGGAGGTAGAGGTTGCAGTGAGCTGAGATCACACCACCGCCCTCCAGCCTGGATGACCAAGCAAGACTCCATCTCAAAAGAAAAATCAAACCTGTTTTAGAAATTATTTCTTTCAAATCATGGTATGAGCATTTGCCATTTTCCCTCCTTTTTATGAAAGCACAAATTCTCATTAATAAATAAGCCCACATTCATAATGGTAAGAATATAATAGCTATTATTACTATAAATACATGCCAGTGCCAATTCTAGACACATTATACATATTAACTTGTGTGTGTGTGTAATTTTTTTAGTCAGTGCTATCAGTCAGTTACACTCTACCTGCTTTACTTCATTTAGTCACAAGCACTGTTTCCTTATTATCCCTGTTTCATAGGCGACTGACCCCTTTGCACAGCTAGTAGTGGCACTGCTGGCGCAGTTATCACTGCATACTGTATTAGCTGACATATTAATAGTAGCCACAGTTTAGGCAAAATTGCTGTTGTACTCCCCTAAGTCTCCCAGCAGTTTGCCGTTTTGATACTGAGGCTGCAGAGGTTTGTGAGGTGCCCAAGACCTGGGGGCTAGCTGAGGATGCATGCGCTCTGGTTTTGTCTTCCTATTGAGTACTCTAAAATGTCTTTTTGTCAAAGCCTGCTTAGTTGTGATTTCATGCAGAGAGTTTTACAGGAGCACAGCCCAGGCCAGCCTTGATGTGAGGAAAAGTTCTTTCCCAATTTGGACGTGTAGCTGCTTCCAGGATCTGTTAGTAAAAACAGAACTGCCCCTCTCCGCCAAGAAAAGTGTTGTCAGATGAGATATTAAGAAACATGAAGGATAAAGTGAGATGGTCCAACATTTCTCTAACCAGAGTTCCAGAAGAAAATAATAGAATGGGAGACAGGGAATATTCAAAGATACAACGGCCAAGAATTTTCTAGAACTAATGGAAAAATTGTAGACAAAAGACATGTATATGAGTTTAAGGATAGCAATAGCTGATGAACAATACAAACATTACTTAAATTAAGTAGAGCTCTAGGTTCAGCTTTTTAAAAGAAAAAATGTAAAATATGAGGTAGTCCAGAGAGTAAATGGATGTACCAGGGCCAAAGGGAGCATGAATTGCCTTAAGGGAGGGGATAGGGGAAGCTAAGGAAACAATTCCTGCCAAAGTGATTGGGTTTTGAAAAGGAATCACCCAGTAGACAAGGGTCAGGGAGAAAGAATGATACCTGAAGAGGGAATCGGACATGAAAAGCTCATGTTGCCAAATAAACCCTGAGATCTTTACATTCTGGGAATGACATTTTACCTTTGCATGAAATGAAAAAAGTATACATAAAAATGTATATAAGAAGGTCTATAAATGATAAAATCTGGTTTTCACAGGGATAATGCCCTGGTAATTTCTATTATGTATTTTAAAAAGCCTTGTGGGGTTGGGGGGGGTCCCAAAAACACAAAATTTAGCAGTTCCATCTAATTATTTGGTGTCATTTAATGATAAAATATTTTTTCATATGAATGATAGGCTTATTATTTTTTTCTAGAATGTCTTTTTTTATCTATTTTGTTAAGAACATGAACTTATTGCTGTAACTCGTAAATGAAACCTTCCTTTTCAGAATAGTGTTGTTCTCTCTTATCATCTTACAATTGAATACCAGCCGAAAAAGTGTTGAAAAATTAATCTCTTCTTTCAGCATCTTCTCATTTACCAATCAAATGATTCACCTGTGTCATTTGTCTAAATATTGGAGTCATGGTTTGTGCTTTTAGCATAAATATTTAGTGCCAACTCAGTCTCTTTCCTATGTTCTGGGCCCTAGTTTATCTTTCTGAGAGATTGCTAATGTAAAATGTTTAAGTAAATAGTGAATGGTCCTGGAATAGGGCCTGATACTTGCATTACTGTTACTTTGTAGAATATTGTATTTTGATTGTGTTCTCTAGCCAAATTTGTCACATGAGATTCTTCCCAGTTCTTTGCTTTTAGTGGCTCTTATAAACACAGACTTTGACATATATTTAATATCTTGAAGAATAAAGATATCCTGTGATGTTACAGCCTGTCAGTACTATTTTGGGGTATAACAGGTGGGTAACCGAAGGGGAAAAGGCACGTGTGTGCTTGGGGTAGGGGGAAGATCCTTTTATGGAATTGAACATGCTAAAACATTGGTGAAGTTGTTCTTTCTGTGCACACTTAAGACAGCAGTTAGGATTAGATCTCTCATGAACTTCTAAGACCATCCAAATACTGGGAATAGGTCTGTCACTATTTCATTTTGCAAAAGTTGGCAACTTACTGTAATTCATAATAATAAGGTACCCTGGAAGTATACAACATGTTAAATATACAATATGTATATTTTTATTTTGCTCTCATGATTCCACAGCTTAGTTTTTTAGTGACTGGGCACAATTATGTGTATGTATAGTGTGAGTGCATGTGTGTGCAGTTGAGTGAAGTGGGGAAAGTAGCGCTTCTATAGTTTGATGAGGGTTTTACACAAAAAAGCCACAGAGACTTTCCCTTAAATTTGGGAAAAGACAAAGATACCCCCATCATTGCCACTGTTTAATACAGTACTGAAGGACCTTTTCTTAAAAAAAAAAAAAGTAATAGAAAAGTAATAGGATTGGGAAGGAGGAAATAAAAACTATGGATGATATGGATATGATCATTTACCTAGAAGAACCAACAGAATCAACAGACTGAACACTAAAATGAATACATGTAAATCAAGGTCGCCAGTGACAAGATAAACCTACAAAGACAACACTTCTCAAACCAGTAAAAATCAACTAGAAAATACAAATTCACAAGAGCAACAATATCTACAAAGACTACTATGAAGAATACATGAGAACTCTATAGAAGATCTGAATAAATGAAGAGACATATATCATGCCCTTAAACAGAATGACGTTATAAAGATGTCGAATTTCTCTCATTTTTTGAGAAACACAATAAACGTACCCTAGAATTTATATGGAGAAGTAAAAGTCCATAAATAGCTAAGTTATCTTTAAAGAAGATTGAGGGGCATGTTCTGTCAAATATTAAAGTATAGTACAAGGCTAGTGCTATAAACAAACAAAACAAAACTGGGCACTAGTATAAGAACAGTTAAATACACTAATGCATGGGATAGAGATTTTAGAGAGAAACTTAATACGCATTCGCTAGGGGAAAGATGGATTGTTTGGTAAATAATGTTGGGGAAAATGGCTATTTGGAAAAAAAACAACATTCTTAACTAACTACATACAAGGGTTGATTCTAGGTGGATTAAAGACATAAGGAAGGTAGAACTATAAAGTTAATAAGAGAAAATATAGGAAAATATGACCAAGGGGTAGGGGGAAGACCTTAGGTCAAAACTTCAAAAGCATAAGCTATAAGGCAAAAAAAAAAAAAAAGATGAATTGGATCACATCAAAATAAGAGTCTCTCTTTAGTGCCAGACATCCCAGACGTGGTTCATATAAGAGAGGATGAGAGATGGCTGCAATGTCTGTAACCAACAAGAATTTCTTGAGTATACAAATCAGCAAGGGGACAGTAACTCCTGTTTAAAAATATAAAAACAAAATAGGAAAAGTCTATGAATAGGCTAACAAGGATACAAAGAGATGTCTGAAATTATTAGGAAAACGCAGGTTAACCTGACATACCAGTGTATTTCTACTACACTGGCAGCAAATAGAAAGTTGGCAAATGCGGAGTGTTGGTAGGGATATGGGGACTCCTGTGCTTTGCTGTGGAGAATGGACAGGTACAGGTATTCTGCAGAATAATCATAGTACTAAGTCAAAAGCGGAGTACACATACCCTTTGTCTCAGCAATTCTGTCCTGATATATGTCCTAAGGAAATCCTCACCAAGATCCAAAGGGGAGATGTATTCATAGAAGTGTTATTTGTAGTAATAAGAAGTTGGTAGACAACCTGAGTGTCCATCTCTGGGAGAGTGGAGAAGGAAAAGCAGGTAGGTATACACATGGAGTATTATAAAATATGTAGCACCAACTGATTAAAAGTACACATAGGGGGCTGGGTGTGATGGCTCACACCTGTAATTCCAGCACTTTGGGAGGCTGTGGTGGGCAGATCACTTGAGGCCAGCAGTTTGAGACCAGCCTGGCCAACATGGCGAAACCCCGTCTCTACAAAAATTACAAAAATTAGCTGGGCCCGGAGGCTGAGGCATGAGAATCAGTTGAACGCGGGAGGTAGAAGTTGCAGTGAGATCGTGCCACTGTGCTCCAGCCTGGGGGACAAAGCAAGACTGTCTCCAAAAAAAAAAAAAAAAGTACACATAGGATCCTGGATGCTCCAGGATGAGATATAAATTCAAAATATACAAATAATACAGATCTTGTAAAAACAAATACTATTAATTAGATAAACACTAAATAGAATTGCCTCATGAGCTGGAAGGAAAATAGGAGAAAGGCAAGTGGATAAAAAATAGAAAAATGAAAGAATTTTAAAGCAGAAATGAAGAAGTTTTGAAAAGTTTGGTGATCTTTAAACTTGATTTGGGTTGAATGAGAGATAAAATTAATAGGAAGAACATCCTGCATACAATAACCGTTTTGTTTTCCCAATTTCTATAGGGTTGAAGCTTTGAGAGAAGCAGCAACTGCTGTTGAGCAAGAGAAAGAAATCCTTCTGGAAATGATCCACAGTATCCAAAATAGCCAGGACATGAGGCAGATCAGTGACGGTGAGAGCCATCTCCACAGAAGGGGCTCGTCTTTTACACTCCTTTAAAGAGTTTATGATAAGTGTGGGTCAATTTTTGCTTGACTTTCGGTATGCGTATACTAGGCCACAGCATTTAATGTGAGCCACAGAGAGCAGCTGCAGCTGTCAGTTTATTATAGCAGCCACTTACTCAGAGATTTCTTCCAGCATGCTCTCTACCCCAAGCCATGGCTGGGAGAGATAGGAAAAAGCCTGCAAGCTCAGAAGAGCTGGCCCCAAGCAGTAAGGCCATGTGTTTTATCCCAGGTTCACACTCCTAACTTCAGTTCTTCACAAGTTACTGGACTGCAAGAGATTAAAAAACACAGAGGAAAAAGGGTGAGAATGGAAGCAGAGAAGTAGAGACCAAAAAAAAAAAAAAAGATGAATTGAGGTACAACATAAAGAGAGGGACAAAATGCAGAGAAAATGAGGAAACTTGTAGGACCAGTAAAAGGCATGAATGTAAAAATGTGCTGTCATTTTCTTTTTTCTTTTTATGAGATGGAGTTTCACTCGTCACCCAGGCTGGAGTGCAGTGGCGCGACCTTGGCTCACTGCAACCTCCGCCTCCCGGGTTCAAGTGATTCTCCTGCCTCAGTCTCCTGAGTAGCTGGGATTATAGGCGCCTGCCACCACGCCTGGCTAATTTTTGTATTTTTAGTAAAGACAGGGTTTCACCATGTTGGCCAAGCTGGTCTCGAACTCCTGACCTCAGGTGATTTTGCCTGCCTCGGCCTCCCAAAGTGCTGGGATTACAGGCATGTGACATCACGCCTAGCCTGTGCTGTCATTTTCATGTGAAGAACATGTAATAGGTAGGAATAGGTCACTTGTGATTTTCTTTTTATTGGCACTGGACTTCCTACTTGGGCTCCTTTGGTGCCACACAGGCCACATGTTACTGGGCCAAGTGACTGGTGAGATAAGTAAGCAATCTAAATCCAGATCAAAACTGTTACACATCTATGGTAGGCCATGATCTAGTCTCTACACTGTCCTGCCCAAAGATCAATGAATTAGGAAGTTACAGAAGCAGGAGATTGCTGACTTTTTCATATAAATAATGAAATGTTGATAGAGCTCCTCATGCCGGTCAAGACTTTAGACCACTGTCCTGTTTCTATCTGGAGAAGCATGAAGTCAGTGCCTAGTATTGATGCCAGCTTATCTTCTATCATGGCTATATTTTCTCAACCAAAATTTGGGGCAGTGTATTCTGATAAATGCACATGTCGTTATGGAGAGATCTGGGACATCTGATCTCTGGAGCTGTACCCAGCATAAATCCTATATGTGCTTACTGCTCAAAGGGTTAAGACTTGATCTCCATCCCAGTTACAAATGCATTCCTACCCAAACTTTTGCAAACATGCCAATTTGAGAAGTCATCTAGTATCCCATATATAAAGATTGTCAGGAAATGGTATTCTACAACCTCTCTCTGTAATCTAATACATTTCATCAGTTAATCTTACATGCTATAATTTTAGCTTGTATCTTTAAAAAAATTTCATAGCAGATACTTAATAAATTTAGTCACAAATGCCTTAATGTTCTTGACACAGATAAGTTTATGTCTCATATTGATTGACATTTTAGGAGAAAGAGAAGAATTAAATCTGACTGCAAACCGTTTGATGGGAAGAACTCTCACCGTTGAAGTGTCAGTAGAAACAATTAGAAACCCCCAGCAGCAAGAATCCCTAAAGCATGCCACAAGGATTATTGATGAGGTGGTCAATAAGTTTCTGGATGATTTGGGAAATGCCAAGAGTCATTTAATGTCGCTCTACAGTGCATGTTCATCTGAGGTGCCACATGGGCCGGTTGATCAGAAGTTTCAATCCATAGTAATTGGCTGTGCTCTTGAAGATCAGAAGAAAATTAAGAGAAGATTAGAGACTCTGCTTAGAAATATTGAAAACTCTGACAAGGCCATCAAGCTATTAGAGCATTCTAAAGGAGCTGGTACCAAAACTCTGCAACAAAATGCTGAAAGCAAATTCAATTAGTCTTCAAACCCAACAGCATTTACACAATACACATGGTGTAAAAATGATAAAATATTATTTTAATTGATAACTAGTTCTTTATGTTAGATATAACCACTTAGTTGATACTGACAGTTGTTTCAGATGAGGAAAATATTCCATCAAGTATCTTCAGTTTTGTGAATAACAAAACTAGCAATATTTTAATTATCTATCTAGAGATTTTTTAGATTGAATTCTCATCTTGTACTAGGATCTAGCATATTTCACTATTCTGTGGATGAATACAGTTTGTGGGGGAAAACAAGTGTTCAGCTAGGGGCAAAAGCATCACTGCTTTTTCCTGTGCTTTGGCGTGGAATCACGCAGTCACCTTGGGCATTTAGTTGACTAGAAATTCTTTACCTTAAGCAGCACACACATTTACTACACACACAGTGTTAACAAAGCACTGTGCTTAGAGGGATAAAAAGGAATCACAAAACAAGAATCTTTCCAAAGTTGTCTCATTCCGCAATGTTAAGGCATCTATATCAAATTATTTTGGATGTAAAGATTCCTGTGTCTCATAATATGAATGTATTTTTTGATATACAAGAAACTATGACATAAAATGTGAGAAAACCACCTATAATTTGCCACTGTGAACAATTATATATCTGCTTCATCTTTTCTCAAATGCATCAATTCTCTAGAATTCCTATATTGTAACTTGCCTTTTTAAAAAAGTTAGATGCTGATATAAAGCCTGCTTGTCAACTTAATGAGCTCTATTTTGTGTAGTTATATCTTTCTTTATCCATTCCCATCTTACGGACATTTAGGTTGCTTCCAGCTTGTTGCTATTACTGCAACATATTTTTGTACGCAGGGCTTTTTCCTTCTTTTGTTTTCAATTTTCTCTGTATAAAAAGGGTATAGACATTTTCATGGCCTCACACACTTATTAAAAATTTTTTATACAAAGGTTATAGCAATTTATACTTTTTTCAGTAAATAAAATATAGCTATTTCACTGAACTCTTTCCAGCACTGAGCATTAACACTTAGTTTGCATTTTGTTTACTAAAAAGGTTGGCCAGTGTGTTGATTCTTCTTTTATCTGTGATAAAGTGAAGCAACTAGAGAACACTTATTTGTTTAAAGTAACTAGTCCTGTTGATATACAAAAAACGCAACAACTTCCCTAGATACTATTTTGAAATGAACACATCAATTTTTATTTCAATGTAGGTATTCTTCACACTGAAAAACCAAATCAGGATCCAAACTGATTTTATATATGTCTCTCTCTCACAATGCAAGCAATATTGAACTTCTTTTTCTCTACAAAAATGCCAAGTTAGTCTCTTTATAAAAAGCAGTTAAAATCTGAAGACATTTATGTTACTTCCTTTGCCAGCTCCAACTCTGCCTTATTTAAATCTTTCCATTTCATGGGAAACATTAATTCTATCTATGGCAAAGCCACTTGGTTTGTTAGCAGACTCTGATTTGCTGTCATCAGGCTGTGAGATGATTTTTTTGTGTGCATCATTTTTTTCTTGACCAGCTTTTTGAAAATTAAGAAATGGATAGTCAGGTTTTCTTCAAGTTCTCAAGTATTGTCAGCATTCGTAAATCCCTTCCACTCTGGGAACTACTACTGCTCCCTGCTTCCCATGGCTTCCACATCAGCCCAGGACTTTTTCTACCACAAATTATCTGGTTCTGCCTCCTTGACCTTGGTATTCTTAGCATTGTTTTTCCCATTTTTTTTGCAATGGAGTTTTTTTTTTTGGAGGTCATTAATTTCTGATCACAGACTTGAAGAGCTATGATCCACATTTCCAAGCTGCTTGGGGTCCCTGGTTTGCAGTGTCTCCAGCATTCTGTACCTAGAGCCACATCTAAAGGGCAGGGAATCTCCAGTTTTGTTTTGTTTTGTTTTTTTTGAGTCTCACTCTGTCACCCAGGCTATCTGACAAGTAGAAGACATATCCACTGTAGCAAGAACACTGTGGAGTATGAGTTAGAGAAAAGAGACTGTGAAGGAAAGGGAACAAACATTTTGTAGACGTTTAGTGTCGAATACATTTTAGGGAGGCAGTTTCTATAGTTTCTTTCGTTTACTTCATGAGGTTTCTTTTTGTTTTTTTTGAAACAGAGTCTTGCTCTGTTGCCCAGGCTGGAGTGCAGTGGCACGATCTCAGCTCACTGCAACCTCCACCTCCCAGGTTCAAGCGATTCTCCTGCCTCAGCCTCCCAAGTAGATGGGACTACAGGCGCACGCCACCATGCCTGGCTAAATTTTTGTATTTTTAGTAGAGACAGGGTTTCACCATATTAGCCAGGCTGGTCTCGAACTCCTGACCTTGTGATCCGCCTGCCTTAGCCTCCCAAAGTGCAGGGATTACAGGCATGAGCCACCACGCCTGGCCAATGTGTTGATTCTTAACATGTATTTTTATTTATAAGAATGGGAGTATAATTTATTTTCAAATGATGATCAATCTCCTGAGTCACATTTTTACCCTCATTTAAACTATTGTCTTTTATATAGACTGTAAGTGCATATAGAGTATGTTTTGCCCTATCTCAATTCCATACCATTCCCAGCATATAATAAACAATTTTAGGGTAGCCCTCCTGCCATTTCTTGTTAGCACTGCTTTCAATATAATGAGGTTATTAACTATTGGCAGAGTATCTGAAATATGAAATAATTTTAGGTTGCTTTGATCTTTAAAGAAGTTGCATTATATATTTTACTATTTAGTTCCACACTGTTGATACAATCATACATATCACACAAAATTTTAGCTTTGAAATGCATTTATTTTTTGATTATTGGAATTCATCCTTCATGAAATTTTTATTGAGTAGTGTGTTTTAAATTAAGCTCCAGAGTATAACTGCAACCAAATAGCAATCCATACAAGTGGTTTTCCATTCAGATTTACAAAAGCATTATTTATTAGTAACAAAAATATAGAAGGAATTCAGTTTTCCTTTTATCCCAAATTTTTTTTTTTTAAAAGACCATTTACTAACATCCTACTGTAGATATTTTGAGAGAGAGATGAAAAGAAATACCACCTAATGAAGATTATTATAGCCAAATCATCCAGTTAGCCAGGAGTTTTATGATTGAGTATTTCAGAGTCTACTGCCGGTTTTAAATATTTTGTTAGCAAATGAATTCATCTGTATGATGATAGACTTACATGTTTTATAGCTGAAAACGTAAGGAGTGACAATAGTACACATGACATTCTTAACAGTTAAAACTGAGTAAGTCCTGTTCATTAGGTAGGTGTCACGTGGAACAAGCTTTCACCTCATCAGTTCATTTTGTTTTCAGAGAAACAGACAGACTAATGACAGATTAATGGGAACATTTTATCAGGTTACCAGTAACTATTCCAAAGGTTTTGAAAAGGATGCTAATAATTAACAATATCTTATATTAAAAGGGTCCAATACTAAGTTGGGACACTAGGTCCTAAGGCCAACTCCCTATTCTAAGATCTTCAGAAAAGGTCCAATTTCCTAAAACTCACAGGTCCAAGGAGTACATGTTGAGAGTTCTTTCTGAGCACTGCACTGCCAACTTCTAAAGCAACCACCTAAAACTTCACTCCATAATGAGGAAAGCTTTCATCCTCTTTTTGGTAGTTTTAGCTTTATTTTGAAAAAATACATGTGTGCTATCAACTTTGGGCAGATACAAAGGAAATCATTTAACCTGGTTTTATTTAACTATATTGCCTTATGTGGGTTATTCTGTATACTATTTAATTCATAGAGACTGGAAAAGGAAAGGGAAACCTGAGGAACTTGGAAATACTGCAATTATTCCACAGCAATGTGTCTATGCAAAAGATTAGCCGTAATGTTAAAAAAGTAGATTAGAGCACAAATGCACAATCACCTGGAATCTTGGAAAAGTTTTTCTTCAGTATACATGGTTTCATAAAATAATTAAAGTTATTTAAGAGAATGAAGGGTCTTGGAAAAAAAATGTCAATTTTTGAAAGCTTTAAGAATTGATTAAATTGAGAAATTAACATATGGCTGACTTTCAGGACTACTTAATTATTTTAAATGACTAATTATGGTTAGTTTTAAAATACGGCAGTGCAAATTAAAAATTCAAATATGTAACAAAGATCTCTCTTCAGTTCTTATTTTAAAAAAGATAAAACTAAGTACATAAAATTATATTGCAAATATTACAGGAACTGCAACTATCCTCAGAGATTACTTTTTTAAATATAGGTAACATGCCTTTAGCCACACAACTAATATGAAAAACAACTAGAACACATATAACAAGTGATTTTTCTGCCAATAAAGACCAAAAGACTATTTACTGTAAAATATTATTTTGTGCAAAAATTAAAGAGACAATTTGAAGAGAGTAGAAAAGATGACTCATTAGCAGTATCCACTGTTAGGAACTGAGTTTTGCCCCCAAAACCTATGTCATTGTCAGCAATGGGAGTGGTGACAACTGGTGACATAAGAATAAACATTTTATATTACTGTGAAATAGATAATGCCAGATCATTTCAATATAATGAAAAGCGAAATTTACTCTTTTTAGTTTTTTTATTTTTCAATCTAAAATGGCAAAGAGAACATTTACTTTTGATCACTTAACAAGGACACACCCAGGAAATTTGATTTTCTCAACATTAGGAGGACGAGGAGAGTGCAGATGGAAGACTTAAAAAACAAAAAACAAGAGAAACACGAAAGGCGTACGTAAAACATTTTTTAGTACAAATAATGAAAAATGACTTCATGACACATTTTCCAAGAAAAGTTATTTTTACATATTTTGAAATGCTGTAAAAACCAGGTATATTGAAAGGGGTTATTTATAGGTTAAAAATAAAGCCATTGATGAGTGATAATCAGTTTTCACAGAGTTCACGCAATTATCTTAGCTGGAAAGCTACTGTCCCAAGTGACAAAATTTATGCTCTGACACATGATTCCATGTTAAATCATTTTGTAAAAGAAATGATTTTGTATGTGGGACTGACAGCTCCTGAGAAAGTGCTATACAAACTGAAGGTTATAGAAATTTTGAAGTGATAATCTTAAAATACCATACAAAAATGTGTAAACAAAAGGATGGTTTAGAGTTGCAGGGCATTATAAAATCTGTAATTTTAGTTAAGACTAATAATAATATTTTTGTGCACTTTAAAAATGGTTAGTATAATCTTGTAAGTTCAAAGCTGGGTTCTCAGTGAGCAGCAAAAGGTGTTAGATGCATCACCACACTTCACAGGACCTCCTGAATGATTGCAGATGTGCTGTATACCTTCTTAAGGGGCTTTGGCTGACCTTATGACAGCAGGAGCTCACCATGCTTATGGGTGACTATACCAAAAAGATTTTGCAATAAGGCTCACCTGGGAGATGCTCTAGCATTCAAATTCCTATACTCCTCTTTTATCTATGCTGTCAGACGGAAACTGCTTACTGCTTTTAAAAGATATAATAAACTATAAATTCTGATAGTAAAGCACTATAAAAATTAGGTATGATATTTTTGGCACAAAGCGCTTTTTAAACCCAAGCTCATTTTGCAAAATATATGTCTAGAGTTTCTCATTTGAAAATAAAAACATATACACAATATGTAAATGGTTTTATAAGTGAATTAGAATGTACATTTTCTTAAATACTGCACATACCTTCAGCTTACTCCAGTACCAGACATCTGCATGCACAACTCACATTCTACATTACACAGATATTGCACAAGTACCAATGCCGAAATACTAATGCAGGCTGGCAAGATTTAGGGTTTACCTTTCAGTATTATTTTGTGAAAGT